AGGCTTCACATCGCCGTCTAATCATCGCATTTAATGTTTACTAAAGGTCAGCCACCCTAGTGATAGACGACACTAAATGCAACTGCTCACTTTATCTCAGGCATCCCATCAATCAATCCCAAAAAAGATCTTCGAATCTTCCTGAAGCGACGTCGAGTCCACGACCCTCATGGGACACTCAGATTACGCTTCGCATCGTCCTCGAGGGGGTACCTCGGGCCGAAGCTATGAGAAGGTGTTGGTTCCTGGATAAAGGGCATCGGCCTACTCCCATCGTGGGATTCCTGACCCATTCGGTTGTCCCCTTTGCTCCTTTCTGACCTCCTTACACGTGGCATGCCACGTGGCCAATTTTCTGTAACCTCGAAACGGGGGGATAACAGCGTCAATGTGGCATTAAATGATAGGTGAAATTAAATAAATCATTTAATTTCACCTTTCATTTAACATATCATTTAAAACCACGTAAACTGTATTTTCATCCCCATCGAGGATGAATAACATTACTCAATAAAAAATATCAAATAAAATTGTTACTATGTGAAACGTGCAAGACACATAGGAATACGAAGCCACGTGGACTAATGCATCACTACGAGCCACGTGAAGTTATGTATTATCAATTTTCGTTAATAATTAATACAGTGATTAATGATGAATAGGATGTCGAATCCATGAGAACGGATAATCTATATATTTATTATTTAACTATAATCAAAATTAACTCCAATTAGAGAAACGCACAATTAGTTGTTTGGCTTTGATTTTAACTAAGAAAAAAAAATGGAAATAATCAAATCACAAAAGTGAATAGAATCCTGAATTCACAATTATTGACTTTTAATCCTCAACTACCCTGTGATAATCAATTATTGCACATGGTGAAAATCAATTATCCAATTATAATCAATAATCTCTCTCTCTCGAGGCCTATCAATCGTATAATTCTTAATTATCTCCAATTAAATTGTAAACATCTAAATATTCATTAAATCATAGAGCACAACGATATATTCGTCCAATATAAAAACCCTATTTGTGTATTATCGTGTATTAATTTATGTTGAACATTTCGAAAGCAATATAAATCACAATCATTTTCTAATGGTTGCCAAATATCAAACAAAAATAAACAAATAATTAATCAAATATTTGATAAGATTTATCAAAACCTCGCCACAATGTGTCTTGCCCATCACGGTTTCGATCACAAAAATACAAAATAAAAGGCGAATCCATAACTCGAATAATTTGGAATAAAAAGTTGATACGACTATTAATTTTAAACCTCGTCGACAATTTCAGAGGATATCTTCTTCTTCTTCTTAGTCGAGATCATCCAGAGACTCTTGGAATATTGAATTTTTTTTTTTTTTTTATAGCGAATTCCTCTTTTATCATATACTCCCCATTCTATTGACATAGGTTTGCTATTTGGGACATGTTTGGTTCGACTCAAAATCCATTTAAAATTGAAAATATAACCGTTATTGGGTCTCACTCATCTAATAAAAATCAACAATAATGGATAGTTTTTCAATTTTAATCCGATTTTAATCTCTACCAAACACCCTCTTATATAGCCTCGAGATTGGTCGAAAGAATTCAAAGTGCCCTTACTTTTAAATTCAAAAATCATAATTTTTTTGTTGGTTTGGGCGACCCACCCCAATGATAATGTCCGGGTGGTCACAACAAATTGGTCCACCTGCGTCCCATTTTTTAAGCCCAGGGTTGCGATCAATGCTGCGGGGTATTGGCCTCTCTGTACTTTTTTTTTTTTTCTTTTTTGCACTTGGTTTCCTTAGCTTTCTGAAATTGTCGGTCCCTAAACTTAAGTGTACCAATTCAGGTCCCTGAACTTTTTAATTGGGTCCAAATCAGCATTTCAGCTTTCAGTGTCTTCAAGTTTGGTCCTCTAAAGTTACGAGAATGTTCAAGTGGGTCCCAAAACTCTCCAAAAGTATAATTTAGTCCCCAAAACTTGTAAATTCCATAATTCGCCCCCAACACTTTCTGACACTTCATTTTGCTCAATGCACCTCCAAGTATTGGTTTTCACGTATAGAAATAATATATAAGCTAAATTAAATAGAAATCCTCTCAACTAATAAAATATAAAATAAATATTAGTGTGCACTTATCACTACCAATGAGCTATGAGGGCCCTGCAATGGGTTCACCTGAATCAAAAGGCCTTGATGAACAACGTGGATGCCTAACCAGGGATGGTAACGCAATGAAGGTGGTGGGAAAAAAATATCCATTTACTTATTTAACTATTTACATTTTTATTAAAATACGATACGATTTAACCGATGATTCATAAAATAAATAAATAATATTTTGTGTGGATTCAAGATTGTGTAATGTTCCCCATCCCACCCCAATTACCTAAAGAGACGGGGACATTCTTACTTACCATAATATTCTAATTATGCTCCGCTTAAGTCATAACTACTTCGTTAGAATCCGAAGCTCCACTTTTGTATCGTGTAGGATCTAGAGGGAGGACTCATCGAGGAGGTTTCATCTTGAGCTTACCTTCAGGGTAGGCGAATTGGGTGGCCGACCTTCATCTATCTTGTAACGAGAAACGAGCGGAGAGTCTCATTGCCTTGGGGAAATTCCCTTAAACATTAGTGTCGGTTAAGGTACAGTACACATGATCTTCTTATAAAAGGTAAAAATCTTACAATTGATTGATTAAATATTTTCCGCCATAGAACTTGCCTTATCTGGGGAACCAAGGAACGTTCGAAGAATCTTATAGCCACACGGGGATGGACTACTACCATATCACATTTGCAAAAAACCATTATAAAAGAATGATATGGTGTTGTTTTGTTTGGGAGAGCTTAAAACTAAATTTAATTAGTATGGTCCTGCAAGATGAATAAAAAGGTGGATAATAAGTTGTGGGTTCATATAATATATTAAATAACGAGTTTAACCATTTTGCTAAATATGCACATTATCAAACATAATCATTTTGTGACAATGACAAAAGCACTAATTGAACAACACGTCCAATGGTCATAAGTTATGCCTGTCAAAGCTTATAATTTCTTATAAGCTGATCGAACTGAACTTTATTTTGACCAAAAAATTTCATATGACTCACAATTTTGACCAATTTTTTTGTCACATAATTTATATTACAAGCTTCGACACACGAGTATATTACCATTGAACTTATTTTCCTACAATTACTCTGCACTTGATCAAATAAAATGTACAAAAATCGAGCATTTTTGTGGCAAAGTCCAAATGATCGCTAGACCATTAATTGGAACAGAAGCCTTTGCATGCTAACGATGTTCAATTTTACATGAAAACATATAGGTGGACGAGAAGGTAACGAAAACAACCAGAAATACATAATTCTTTTGAAAAATAAGAAATGGTTCGTTCCATTAAGGGACAAAATTTTTTGAGTCCCGAAATGAATCAACGAAAGACGTGATATCAACTGAAATTTGAAGGTTAACCAAGCAATTTGTATAGCATTCTCTTCCCAGCAAGGGAAATAAACAAAAAACTGCATATTCTCGCCATCTTTTGACTTTTTCACACAGTGGTTGATTTCTTTAAATAAATATGTATCAAAATTAGGTTGGTTATGGATAGAGATTAGGATTAGAACAGGGCATAGACCAGTCCTAGTATTAGTCGAAGTGCACGATCTATGTACCAAGAGAAGTGCTATATGTACATAAATCTACACATAATGATGTTTATAGTTATATGTGGCATTGGATCTAACCATTAATTCAAATCTCACACTTTCACATCAACGACAGGATTTTGTTCACATCACATTACGAACACTATTATGTACATATATAATGTAGATGTAAACTTTTACATTTACATGTACGAAATATTATTGGCAACAACGTAAGAAAAATAGGGCTTCTTTCCAAACACACGAAACGCTCACAAAAACTTCCTCTCAACAAACAAAATCTCTCTCGCTAATCTCCGCTATAAGCACACAGAAAATCGATTCTTTGCCACATAGTATGCAAAAGAGACCAGAATTTGTGAAATACAGGATACTTGGCGTTCCTTTTCTCTCTCCTCTATAAATTTCGACATTTTTTTACTCCGAAAACCAACTCATTCAAAGGCGTCGAGGTCGACGGCGACGACTAGGGTTTTTTTGGTGTGCAGAAGACTGAAAGGGTTTGTTATAATCTGTAATGTTATTCTGAAAATTTGGGGTCAGACTGTTTTTTTAATTGTTAAGGTATTCTGGGGCTGTTTCTGAGTTTTTGGTAATTTTCTTTGTTACTGGCTGTTTGAACGTGAGGATTTTTCTGGGATTTTGGAATATTTTGTTGTTATTGGATGGTTTGGGTCTAGGGTTTGCTTATCTCTCTGCTTTTATATATGGACATGAGTGTTTATTGAAGGATTGCTTTGTTTCGGAAAGATTTATGCATGGAGTAGGGTAATTTGTGGCTGTTTATTGAATTTTCTCGACTCTGAGATCAAAGGCTTTACTTATGCTTTTTTTCCTGGTCAGTGAGGCTGTGAGAAGCCCTTGTTGATATTGTTTCCGGGCATTGAAAACTGCAGAAGTTTGGGGTTTAAAATAAATTAATCAGTTTTTGTTCAATAGACTTGATAATATAAATTGTACAGAGAGAGAGAGAGACGAAACTCCTGTTCCCCTGTATATATAGAATAATTCATATTCTTTTATTCGTATGTGGCTTTTTGTTTGGAGGAATTTATTGGGGGCTCTGCGGATTCAGTTAATGTGATACTACTGGCTACTGAGTTTTAAAACAGCACCGTTAGGGCTTTGACCTAGATAAAGGGATTAGAGCATTGGGAATTTCGGATTAGGATTAATTTTTTTATTGGCTTAAAAAAAACATTCAATTGTCTGGGAGGGAGATGGGGAGGTTATCAATTAACACAGTTAAGTAGAAGACAAGTAGATTTTCTTTCCCATTATTCTCTGTATACTATAATGTTTGGCATTAGTTATGGAAAGAAGTGAACCGACATTAGTTCCAGAATGGCTGAAAAATGGTGGAAGTCTGGCGGGTGGGGGCACTGCATCACATTCAGGTAATTGTTATCGTCTTTTCGAAGCAAACATCTTATATTTTGGATATATCATAGTTTGTAGGCTTGAATTTATTTCTAACATGGTTTTGTTGTTTTAGATGGTCACACATCAAAACTAGCAAGAAATAAGTCACTCGTGGCAAGCAATGGTCATGATTTAGGGCGATCATCTGGTATGGATAGAAATACTTCATCTTTCCGTCGGAGTTCCAGTAGTAATGGTTCTGGTCACTTGGGGCCCTATAGTAGTTTTGCTAGGAATCACCGCAATAGGGAATGGGAGGACACATATGGTTCTCGGGATAAAGAGAAGTCAGTTTTGGGGGACCAAAGGCAACAGTACTTTTCGGATCCATTGGGGGGAGACATTTTGTCAAGTAAGTTTGAGCAGGATGGTTTAAGGCGCTCACACTCAATGATTTCTGGGAAACGTGGGGAGTCATGGCCAAAGAAAGTTGTAACTGATTCGACCAATGCCAGTGGAAACAACAGCAATGGTCTGCTTAACAAAGGCAGTCCTATTAGCAGTGTCAACAAAACCACTTTTGAGAGAGATTTTCCATCCCTGGGAGCAGAAGAACGACCAGCCACTCCAGAGGTCGGAAGGATCCCATCGCCTGGCTTGAGTACTGCTATTCAGAACTTACCGATTGGTACCTCAGCTATGATTGGTGGCGAAAAATGGACATCAGCTTTGGCAGAAGTGCCCGTTTTAACCGGAAGACTAGCTACTCCTTCAAGTTCTGCCCCTTTGGCTTTAGGCACAACCACTGGTCTTAACATGGCCGCAACTGTGGCTCAGGGTCCTACTCGTGCTCAGACTATGCCTCAGGTAGGTTCAGTTTTCCCTTTATTTTGGGGGATAGTGTTGAAAGTTGTCGTGCTAATGACTATTTTTTGTTATGTTGTAGTTGTCTGCTGGAACTCATAGACTTGAAGAGCTGGCGTTAAAACAGTCTAGGCAATTGATTCCGGTAACACCATCCATGTCAAAACCCTTGGTAAGAGTGAACTTCCTATGGTTGAAATTCACTATACATACTTAGTATATGGATTGTCATGTCTCAATGATTTCACTGTAAGCTTTGAATTCTACTTAGTCATTCTTTAAAGGTATAGCATTGAATAGCTTTCCCAATTTTTGTATTTTGCTTTAGCAATTTTAGAAAGTTTATCATTTTGCTTTTTCCTTGTGGATTGTCTAGTATATTTTATATTAGATGGCGGTTGAAAGATTCAATCAGTTTTGGATAGAGGTTCAGACTGGTACTTGGTTACGCAAGTCTGCCAGTATGTTTGTATTGATATTGATTATGAGATATCACATTGGTTATTTAGTGATTGAAACTTGAGAGTATACAGACAATTGGTTCACAAGAAACTTGGAAATAGCTAATAAATCAGGATGGTTTAGTCTTGGAGACTCAAAGACTGGAGAGATGTAAAATAAATTAAACTGGGAGAAAGACTCCGTGTCTAGGCCCTAGGGAAAATGCGATTATCATGGCTTCCTCCTAGATTTTCTACATAAGAGTTAATATTTTTAAATGGTTGTAAATTTCATGAGATAAACATAAGAAATAGGGCGAATTGAATATCCGTTCTTGTAATTATTTGACTGAGATAAACGGATCTTCAGAAAAGATGTAAAATACATTAAAAAGAGAGAAAGAAGCATGTCTAGGTACTAGGGTAAAATAGATTTTTCTACATCCGAGTAATTTTTTTTTAATGGTTATAATTTCGTGAGATAAATATAAGAAATGGGGTGAATTGAATATCTGTTTGTGTAATTATTCGGCTGAGATAAATGAAGACCTGCCGGAGGAACTTTGTTATCTTCGGAAGAAAATAATTATTCCAGTAGGTGATGTTAGAAAGTGCAGTCATCAATGATCAGTAAACATCCCACTTAAAATCAACAATGCTATGTATGCAACTTCCTTCACCTTTGCACCGGTTCATCCAACTTTTGCACATGTTAACCTTAGTAGTATATTACAACCCCGTGTTCTTGAAATCGTTCTACTCAATATTGATATTCCCTAATTGCAGAAACATTTTTACCATCTCCAAGAAAGGCATAAGCAAAGTGGAATCCATCACCATCTTTTTCTTCTTATCCATGCACTTTCTAGAGAGAGGACCTGCTAGATAGAGAGAGAAAATGTGTCACTTGTGACAAGGGATGAACTGTGGGGTGCCAGGGTTTTTTCTTCATTCACTTTCTTCCCCGTTTTCATTTGTGGTGTAGGGGTTTTATGGGTGTTTTCGTCGTTTTGAGTGGAAAAAGTGGGCCAACGGAAATAGTATTTTGATGAGGATATGATGTTAAAATGAGTGATTTTTATCATTGAAAAGTAGGAATAAAATTTGGACTGCAGGAATAATGGCATGTCCCTCTCTCTCCCTCTCCATGTGTGTGGTTTGTTTAAGGAATATACTTCTATTAATTATTTCTCTCCTTATTTAGCCCTTGCTCATTTTGAGATTTTACCTTTTAAACAATGATTTTGCTTTAAATATAGCTTTTCAGTGATGACTAATTTCATTGGTTTTGATTGCCAAAACGCTCTAAGTTCACATACAGAGGAAAAGTATTTATGATGTCCTTTACGTTCAGGATGACCATGATGTTATTCATGATTTGATTGATTTCTCATTTTTAACGTGACATTTGATGTCATGTTACTGGAATCACTTTCAGCAAACTGAAGGTCCAATGATAAGGGAATATTTGTCTAGATGTTAATTAGAAGAAAAACTTTTAATGAAGGTCATAAGCATTTTTAGGGCAATCTTGTAAAGGTTGTTATTCTGTGTTTCGTCATTTCTTAATCACATTAGTTTTGGATTGTGAGTGATTGATCTGCATGAATTATAAGATGTACTAGCCGCTCGCCAAAGATGTAATAATTGGTTCCGAGAGTCGCGCTTGCCATTTTCCAATAGAAAGAGAGAAGTTCTGAGATTAAGTAGAATAAGTGTGTCCCTNCCAAGGATGATAGGGAGAGAATAGAATCAATAGATTGTTATCAACAGCAAATAGCAATAAGAAATCTTTATTTGTTCTACCACCTATCTCCGAATGTAACTTTGAATATTGAATTCAACGGGGTCAAATAGGAAATGATACTCTTGAGTCTTTTGGGGGTGGGAGAGGTTGGATAGGGGAATGAATGAAATTCAGCTCCCTTTTGACTACAGCAAAGGAGAGTTTGAGAGCAAAGAGGATGCCATTGGCCAGAGGACAACTGGAAGTGATTAGCTTGGTGACAACATATGAGTAGAACTTTTCCAAATAAAATAATTTTACACGTAAACCCAAAACCTTTTCTTACTTTTTAACCACACATTCTCCAAAAAAAAAAACTATTCCAAAATCTATTGCCCCCAAAAAATGGGGCTCAAACAAGGGCTAACTTTTAACACAATCCAATATTTTGCATAGCCGAATCTTTTTTTGTTAAAACTTGCAACCATCTCCATCACGCTCTAATGATGGCAATTCAATTCAACTTTTGGAGCATTTGTGTGTGTATATATGAAGTGTTTTTTTTGTTTTGGCTATGTTTTCTAAAAGTTATGGCTGTTCAAAGTAGCTAGTGAATATCCAGGTCTTGTAGTGTTGTTTTCTCTTCTTTTTCATGAAAAAAATTATTAACTGCTATCAGGAATTGATTTTTGGATCCACTTAAATGACATGTAGAAAGATACACCTTTGTAGAAGTCCCAGAAAGCATACGTGAAAAAGCTTATGCTTTATGTGCTTTTGAGGTCATGCTGCATAATATGAATGGACTGCTTTTATCTTGTGCTATTTATTTTTTTGATACATTTCGAAGATATGATTAATCTCATTAAACTTTTCCTTCAGGTCTTGACTTCTTTAGATAAACAAAAAGCTAAGGGGGGTCAACTGCAGCATCCTATTTCGCCTACGCTTTCTGTTAGTCACTCTCCTCGTGGAGGGCTCTTGAAGTCTGATGTTTCGAAGTCAACTAATGTGGGAAAGCTCCATGTTCTCAAACCAGCACGAGAGAGGAATGCTGTCTCTTCTGCTACAAAGGATAACCTGAGCCCAACAAGCGGTAGCAAATTAGTAAATTCCTCCCTTTCGATGACTCCATCAGCTTCCGGAGCTGCTACCATTATTGGCCCAGCAAACAACTCAATCATTCCTAGTGCTGAGCACAAGCCTATATTGAATGCTTTGGAGAAGAGACCCGCTCCTCAAGCTCAAAGTCGAAATGATTTTTTCAAACTTATGAGGAAGAAATCCATGGCAAATTCCTCTTACGCTCCTGATCAATCTATGGCAAACTCATTGTCTGTTTCAGATCACGGCACTGCCGTGTCACCAGCTGCTTCAGATAAGGTTGGTGAATTAGATGTCACTGTTTTGAGTACTCCTAATGCTGGTGATGCACCATCATTTGTAAGCCCAGGTGAGAGCCATTTGTCTGACAAGAATGGTGACCTTACTTGCAATGGTGATGCTTGTGAAGGGCAGAAATATGTCAGTAATGGAAAAAAACATCAAAATTTTGATCCTATACTTTCAGAGGAGGAGGAGGCTGCATTTTTGCGCTCCTTGGGCTGGGAGGAGAATGCTGATGAGGGTGGTCTTACTGAAGAGGAAATCAGTGATTTCTATAAGGTGAGAGACGATGCATACATATTTTTGGTTAATGAATTTATTAGCTAGCATCCCGTGCTTATCATTGCAAAATTAAATGTTTCTTGCACTATTCTGCAGTACATCAATTCAAAGCCGTCGCCCTTAGACTCACAGATTGGGAGCATTGGTGGCATTTCTTCTGGATTGAGCTCATCTGAAACTAAGCTGGAATCTTGATTTGCTGACTGGGTTAGCCTGGCATGGAGTGCTTATCCATTTTCTTGCTACTTCAATTGACAGTTCTGTTAGCTGAGTAGGGTGTTGAAAGATGGGGGAAGGGTGGTTTTGTATTTTTTCTGTTGCATGAAAGAGGAATAGAAATAAGTAACCGATGGTCCAGTCCCAATTATGTCTTCTGATTACTGTTGCCTGCTGAACAGGGCGAGTTTTCTGAAGTTCAAAAGTTTGAGCAAAGAGAATGTAATAGTTTTTTCTCATCCTGCTCAAAGACGTTGCTTATATGCGAAGTCTGGGTTTTTGAATAGGGGGATCTGTCAAACAGCCAGTTGTGGTATTTTTAAGTCTACCAAAGAAAGAAAATTAAGGATTTATTATTATCTTTCGCTTCTGTTCTTCCATTTCTACCCTGAGGTTTTTATTTTTTTAAAATTATTGTTTTTTCTTTGAATATTTGTCATCTGATTTATTATCTGAAGCTTTCCAATAATTTCTAGTGAATCTGGAAAAGTAGCTAAACCAAACGTGGGGCTTAATTAAATTCAGATTACTCATTATAATGTCTGCATTAGTGGTAATGAGATGATTTTTCATCAAATTTTTTGATATTTTCAAAGTTTAAATTGATGGATTCTCTTTCAAATTTGTTTGGTCCTCCGAAATATGTCAAATCATAGTTATAACGCAGTAAAATAAACCTGAAAAGTAAACATGTAATAGTTTCATACTCTTTTTAAAAGGTTCAAGCCTAATATGGTATTTTACAATAACAAGAAAATGTCGCATCAGAAATTTCTTGACTTCTCGTTCAACGAATTTGAGCTCAGATCTTCACTCTAAAAACAAGTTCTCTAAATATTTGAGAAGCGTTTCTTGGCATTGTTTAGAACCCCTCACAAAATATGATCTAGAAACGTGATCGTTTTTGTTAATTTATAATTGAACGCTAACATAAGGAAGATATGAAATTTTACTAAGTCCCATCTCGCAAATTTATAAATAATCTATGAAGAAAAATGATAGTGGATTCACGAAATATATGAATAATAATGAATGACAATGTTTAACTTCATTATGAACATGGATCTACGAAGTTCAATGATGTATGATGCACAATCCATCATCTACAATTACTCATCTTCCGACTTCCAATGACTGTGATTCGTAGAATACGACTTTCAATGTTGAAGTTGTTATTGACTGCGAATCAGTAGTCTTTTGAGTACTTTTTCCTCGTCCGGCTCTTGGAATAATGATGGTCTTAATTACCGGAATATTCCAGAACCCAAGTTCGTACTAGTAGGGCTGCCTGCACTTGTCCCCATCCCCAGGAGAATGAGTTTTTGGGTATCTTCATTCAGCAATCCTAAATTTAGGATCTGATGCCACTGCAATTTCACCTTCGGATCCTATTTCTTCAACTGGTTTAGGGCCAGGAATAAGCTGGTTAAAAAGAGTGTTTCCATTCCAAGAATAGCCCACTTTTTCTGCTGAATGTGAAGAGCTGAGATCAAGAACAATTCCCTTAGCAGGATCAAGATTAGGGTTTATGTTTCTTAGGTTGGGTATATATGGAAAGGACGGATTTATCATATGAGGGCTGTTGTAATATGGGAAATTTGTTTGGTTTAAGGTTGATATTTCATTATTCATAAATGGATTACACATGTAGGAGGCTGCTGCTGTTGACGCCATTGCTGTTGCACCTACTGGAAGTGGATGATTGTGTGTTCCTTCATATGTTGTGATCAGTATTGACTTGTCCTCCAAACACCTTTGCACCTAATACATTAATACATAGTATCAATATAGTTTGGTCCCACTTTCGATTTTTCCGATCGACCTGGCTAGTCCAGTCCGGTCCAGTACATTTTTTTTAAAACAGTGATGCACGCACGAAGAGACTAAAGTTGTAAATACGTACCTGCTTTCTGACTGGGCAACCAGGAGCTACCGTGCAACGATAGTATGCTCGAGGACAAGGATTTGTTTTGGCAATCTTCTGTCCATATTTTCGCCATTGGCATCCATCATTCATCTGATTAAAAATGTACACATTTCTATATCAATTTTAGGTCTTTGTTTTGAAATTAATACACAATGAATTTGAACTCACAGTGGCAGCTTCGCATCTGGCTCTGACAGAAATTCTAGCTCTTTTATTTGGAGGAGAACTAACATGGCTTGCATTGAATCCTGGAAAGTTATTGCTGCCTTGTAACTTACCTTGAATTGATGCAGATCCTATCGTACCTTCAATTTTCTCCTTCCTCGTCTGGCCTTCCTCCAATTTCTTCGAACTGGTTCGTAGCGTCAAAGATAACCCTAGTTCATCACTTTCTGTTGTACTATCTTCATCTATTGCTGATGACAGTGCCCTTCCTTTCGGGTCTCGACTCGGATCATGATCGCCGCCTTTGAGCTTAGATAGAAATATTTTCAGATCATAAATCAAAGAGATCGAAATTCGAATTAATTAATTAATTTACCTTATTTTGATTAGTATTTTGTTGGATGATAGCAAATCTCAGTTGAAGATCATCATAATCTTTCATAATTTGTTCGACAGCATTGCTTAATATCTTGTTCTCCTCCTTCATACGATTCATCTGCATCTGTAGAATTGATATCTGATGGAATTTTACAGTTCCATGCATATTGTTAGTCATTGCAAGAAGAAAAAAACTAGCTCATGCAAATATATAAACAACAAAATTAATTAAAATCAACTTTCTTTTACAAAAAAACTGTACCTCTTCCGTACTCTTAAAGTTTTCCAGCCTGGAATTTTCCCTTCGAACATCGTCTTCTTCTTCTTCTACTTCTTCGTCGCTTTTATGTGCGATCAGTAATTCTTCTTCAACTCGATCGGATTCTGCTTGTGCGTCAAGCTTGAGGGATAGATCAATATCCATTTCATTGCTTTCTTCTTTTCTCCCCATAGAAATTTAATTAAAACACAGACACACACACATACACACACTCTTCCCTCCCTCTCTTCTTCCACTCTTAATGCTGCTTTTGTTGCACCGATCGAAGTCAATTGCTCCTTTTCAAGGAAGTGTATAATTAGATAAACAAAGACGCATCTAAGTTTTGACTTTAAAATAACAAGAATAATGTGACAATAGCATTGAACCTCTTTATGTTTTTTATTTTCCATGAAATGACGGAAGTGTCCCCTTAATACCGTGTAATTCAGGGGCTATTTGACGACCTTTAATTTAATCTAATCTAATTTTGACTACAGAATTATTTTCAACCGCACATTCACACAGTAAAATATTTTACACGTAAATTCATAACTTTTTATCATTTTTAATTACATTCTTCAAAAAATACTACTCAAAACTATATTTTGAAATTTTTAAGGCCACCAAAAGAAAGAAACCTACTACACTTATAGTTATTAGTGGGCTGTAATTTTTACATCTAATTCTAATTAGTGTGCGGTCCACTAATTAAGTAATTAGTGAGCCCCACACTAATTAGAATACAGCCCACTAATGACTGTACAAACATCATTTCTACAAAAGAAATGGGTGTGTGTTCTGCGATCTAACTATACGAGGTGCTCATGTGATAATTATATTGAATTGAATCATACAAAAAAAAAAAAAAAAAA